TTAAATTAAAAAATTAATTGCCATAAATTATATAAGAATTTAATTCACAATAACCATGTAAATAAATATAGACAAGTTACACAAATTTTATAACTCCAAGGAACTACATTTAATTCAAACTTTAATTCATCCAATTAAATCATACACTATTCATGGAAATAACTTATGTGTATAACTCTAGAAACTTAAAAGCAATTTCACATGCAAATTAGATAGTAAAGCTAGAAGCATGCAAAATCAAAATATACATATACAACATTAATAAAATTCATGCAAATCATAGAAGGGGAATGATGAACCATACTCATAAAATAAGATCAGAATAATACAATTAAGTAGGCAAGTTACACAAATTTTATAATTCCAAGGAACTACATTTAATTCAAACTTTAATTCATCCAATTAAATCACACATTATTCATGGAAATAACTTATGTGTATAACTCTAGAAACTTAGAAGCAATTTCACATGCAAATTAGATAGTAAAGCTAGAAGCATGCAAAATCAAAATATACATATGCAACATTAGACAAATAGGATGAAACCAAATAAGTAGCATGTGGTTTATATAAATAATTTGAATTGTTTTTATGTAATAAACTAATAACCAAGCACTTCAAGTATATAACCATTCAACCATTAACATGCTAAAGATTAAATCATGTAATCTAGTCTAGAAAATAATAAGCATGTAATAAATTAAAACCTAGAATAGAATAGAATTAGCATGTCAAAATTGCAACATCAATAAATTATATTTTATAACCTTAAAATTCATGCAAATCATAGAAGAGGAATGATGAACCATACTCATAAAATAAGATCAGAATAATACAATTAAGTATACAAATTATGATAGAGCATTCTAATTAAACTAAACAATTAGAGAATCACATTGCATAATTTACAATCATTGAAATAAGGAGCAATTCCGCAACAGTTCCTAGTAACATTATACAAAGCTAACCTAATAGTCTTTCGATCAATTTCATAGGAAAAACATATATGAAAAATCTGTTTTAAGCTTGTTGTTCAAATTTTGAAATTAAATAAATAGATTTATGAAGAAATCAAATTATATATATACTAAGAACACATGCTAATAATTACAACTAAATTTCAACAGAAATACACAAAACAATAAAAGGGTAAAGAGACGAAACCGAAGCCTGCACGGAAGCAGTTTCCTTAAAACAGATTCATATCATCCTCCTCATGGGAGGGCAGAAGCACTCTCTGTCTAGCTTAGCGAACAAAACAGTGGCAGTACTCTCTCACTGTAGGAACTTTCAGGCAAACTGACTTGTGAAATGGAAGTAAAAATTTCTGTGTTTGAGACTTGACAGGAGGGTCTCAATTTATACATGTATAGGGGAGAGAGGAAGAGCCTCCAGCCTTTATGGCTGTTCATAATGCACCATTAACCTCTGCAATAAAGGCAGGAGTTACAAACCCCATTAATGCAGGAGTTACAAACTTCATTACCTTTTTTCCATGAAGCTAACTTCATGAGGTAATTTCTCATTCAAATCTCAATGGTTTTTGGCCATTCTATCTGTGGTGTAAGGATCTCAATGCAAAGTATCTAGACCCACTTGGACCCAACACAATAGATGGTTGGGACCCACTTTAATCTTTAATTAAAGTCACCAAAAAAAAACCATTTTTTCCAACATAAATAGTTTATAGCTTATAACTATGAACATAAGCTGATTTCTGACTTATAAATTAAGCATCTCCTACCTCACTCAAAGAATAAGCTGATTTCTGACTTCCAAAAAGCTATAAGCTCTAAGTTATAAGCCATAAGCTAAACCAAACACATCAAAACAGCTTAAATTAAGCTGAAAGCTGAAATAAGCAGTTTTTAAGCTGTACCAAATAGGCACTATATAGCTATAAGAGTAAGATATTAGTTGAGCAATCCAGAGTTGTATCATGTTTATTGGTTGGTCTGGGCTTGGGTCGGGCTATAAAAATTGGGCCCGAGTCTAACCCGGGCTCCACCAAAAGCCAGGGACGCCCATTTTATTTTTGATGAAAAGCCCCTTCTATGGAGGCTTTTTTGTGTAAAGCCCACCAAATAAAGTAATAGTTTCAAAAGTCCCTCAAATAAAAAAATATGATAAAAAGGCTGAAATGCCCTTCTATATAATCCAAAACCCTCGCTGAACCATTTTTCTTCTATTTTATCTTTACATTACTGGTATCCTCTCTCTTCCCTTTATTTTCTCTCTTTCTAAACCCTAAACCCTTTTGATCTCCATTTTTTATCTATCTCACAAAATCAAAATCTTGAAATCATCCATTGAAATCCATCACCATCTCAGATTTGATGCCTATGAACTCATGTTTGAAATCAATAATTTCATATCTGAGATAAAATGACCTCATATATGTCAAAAAAATGATAAATTGATATATTACAATAAAAAATCGAGAGTTTTTTGTTTGTTTGTCATAGATCTAAAGTAAAATTCGACTATAATTCATTTATCTAGTATGTACTATATTTTTGCAACAGTAAAATTTTACTCTAGTTAATGAAAAATAAAGTTTATTTTCTTATGCATAGACAAACATTCAACGACTCAGTAAAATTTTACTTTAAGATTCAGATAAAATTTTACTCTGAAATACAGAAAAATTTACTAGAAAACAAATCAGAAACTGTATAGACAAACATTCAACAACACAGTAAAATGTTACTTTCAATTCAGAGTAAATTTTACTCTGAAATACAGTAAAATTTTACTCTGAAATAAAGTAAAATTTTACTTGAAGATTCAGAGTAAATTTTACTCTGAAGATTTAGAGTAAATTTTACCAGAAAACAAATCAGAAACTGCATAGACAAACATTTAACATCACAGTAAAATTTTACTTGCATGTTAAGAAAACAGAACAAATAACACCAGAGTAAAATTTTACTCTCATTTCATTAAACAAAAACAGAGCACATACCAGAGTAAAATTTTACTCTCATTCTGTCAAACAAAAACAGAGCACAAACCAGAGTAAAATTTTACTTTCATTATGTCAAAAAAAATAAAAACAAATTATAGAATGTCCTTATTAAGTTAGGCTTCTCTTACCCAGGTGTTTTTTGAAAAAGAATTCATTGAGTTGTCTTTTATCTTAAAAAAAGGCCCAAAAAGAGGATTTCACCAAAAATTCCAATTTTAAATGCCTATTCATAGATGCCCTTGTGTTTTTAGGATATCTTCATTTTGGAAAGTACTATGCAGAAAAATTATATCGAAAATATCACAAGAATGATATGATAATAAAAATTTTCGTAAATAAGAACTGTCATAATGGGTGTTTTGTTATATTTTGTATAAAAATTTTATATAAATTTTTTGTTTGTACACCACCCCCACTACCCACACACACACGTGGAGGCTGGTGATTTAAAAAAAAAAAAAAAAAAAAATGGATTTTTTTTTTTCCCCCCCCCCCCCTCCCCCCCCCCCCCCGGGGGGGGGGGGGTTAAAAAAAAAAAAAAAAAAAAAACTGGCCAATCAGAGAGAGGGGGTCGTGGGGGTGCCTTGTGATGGTCCAAGTCATTTTCCCTATTTTTTTAACGATTCTCAACAGTAAAAAAATATTTAGTTTCAAGGGCTTCGTTTGAGAAATGAGTTAGCTTTTTGGTATTTTGACCTTTTGGCTATTTAGCCTGGGGCTAAAAAGCCTTGTTTGGAAAAAAAAATTTTGACTTTTTTTTATTTTTTTGAGAGAAAAAATGTAGTGATTATGAGTTAGAGGTGATATTTTGTCTTATTAGGTTAAAAAGTTTATTTTGTCTTATTAAGTTAAAGAATTTATTTTGTCTTTTTATGGTTAAAATAACCCCAAACCCAACCCGACCCAACCCTACCATTCTTCCCAAACAAATATGTTCATAAAAATTTTACTATCGCATGATAACTTTAATTAATAGGGCTTGCCGATAATTTTGCCATTATTGTTCCATTTGTTTTGAACCATAAGGCTATGTTTGATTAAAGAATTTGATGAGAGAAATAGAAAAAGAAAAAGGAATCTCACTTTTTGTTTGATTATAATAAAAAATATAAGGAAAAAAAAAAAGTGAGAGAGAAATACAATATCATGTTTTGTCTTTCGAGTTTACTTATATTCTTTTCTTTCTTAATTTCCCAACTCAACCAGACCTATAGCTTGAAATTTGAATCCTATCTATTCTTTCTCATTTTCTCTCTATTTTCCTTTCCCTTTTTATTTCTCCCGTCAAATCTACAAACCAAACAAAGCTCTAATGAAAAAAGTCCTTGAGGTTTTAATATTGACTTGATGAGAGCAGGTTTATAATGGCTCGTTCATATGGGTCCATTCCACACTAGACATTGGGTCGGAAACGGCATTTTGATACGACTTTAATTTTTATTTTTTATTTTTTTTTTTGCCAATAATGTTATGAATATTTTTATTTAAGTTGATTCAATAATTATAATATTTTTATTTTATTAAATTTATTTTTTAAAAAATAAATGGTAAGTGTATTTTTTGTAAATTATTATTTTTTTAGAGAAAAAATAATAAAATAAAAATATTATAATTATTAAATTGATCTAAGAACCTACAAAATAAATATTTTCAATTATTAAAATGGGATAAATCTCAACTGACGACTCCAACATAACGGTTAAGTTCAAACGTAGACGGAAGAGAAACCAATCCCCTCCCTTAATACTCTTCTAGTTTGGATCATTAGGCCATTATTATCCTACATTAATAATTTAAATTGTTCAATTTTTAAATCTACAAGCATAAATTATTTATTAAAAATTTAAATTAAATTAAATTAATAAAAATAAGTCATTTGTTTAATTTTTTTATTTTTTTTGGATAATTTGTATATAAAAATTTAGAAAAATAAACAAAATTAATCATCAAAATAAATCATGTAAGAGTTGGACAGCCAGAAGTTGTTGATGTGCATTGCTTGCATCACTAATACAAAAGAAAACTGTGATCATCATAATAATCACTCTGATAATCAAAACTAACAATCTCCATTAGCAACAAACAAACAAACAAACAACGATTTAAAAACACAATCACCAATTCTTTAAACATTTATCTTTCTTTTCACTAAAAGTTTTCAAATCAAAGGCCGAAACGGTTTCAAAACGCCCAAAACATGGAGATTCATCAAAACACAGAATCGGCCATTTTACACAGATATATAACACACATATATATATGAATATATAGAGATAGATCGATTCAGAGAGAGAGAGAGAGAGAGAGATGAAAAGGAAAAGGAAAAGGAAATGGATTAGGAAATGGTTCGCTTGCCAGGGCGATCGGCGACCTTGAGGGTCTTGTCGATGAGGTTGCGGGCCTGGCGGCTTCGAATTTCGACCTTGACGCTGGCGCTCTTGTCCATCTTTACGTACGGCTTCTTCTTCTTCGACTTCTTCAGCGATCTCACCTTCGATTTTATCGATTCCACCAAGTTCTCCAACTGGTTCGCCATTACTCACTCAATTCAATTTCAAGGAATGCACAGCGTTGTAGGACTCTCTGTCTCTCTGTCTCTCTCTGCGCTATCAGTTTCTTGCTCATCCACTTCAACCACAGTTATGGCGCGCCATGATTTCTTCGACGTTTTATTGATGGGATATTAAATAAAAGTCCATAGTTTCCCACTCAATTTACGGATTAGCCACTCCCTTTCAATTAATCCGTGCCCTTGCGAGTTGTACGACTTGTAAATCTCCACCACCACACGATTCGCTGCTCGTCATTTCCTCGTCCTCCTATTTATTACTCCCACTATCTAAAAATAATAGTTTTTTTTGAAAAATTTAACTTCTTTTGATAGTATATTTTTTAAAAATATTAATATCATAATTATACTTTTTATATTATTTATTAATTTAAAAGAATGATAAAATAAGAAATTTATATTATTTTTGTACTTAATTTTTGAAGAGAGACTAATATTTTGAGATAATGAAAAATAGAATAAAGGACTAATATTTTGAGACGGAAAGAGTATTTTTTTTTTTCGATTTTCAATTGGTAAAGGGATAATATTAGGAAAGAAATAATAAATGCAATAAAAATTTAAAATTTGTTTGGTTTTAATTTTTAAAAATTATTTTTAAATGAGTTTTTATTTATCTTTATTGAACTTTTTTTATATTTTATCTACTATCTGTATTAGTTTTAGTCAATTTAATCTTACTAAAAAAAGGTTAGTGTAATTATTATTATGTCAAAAAATGCAAAACTAATCATATTTTTTTGGGAAAATTGGTCTAGGGTCCTTCCTCTACTTTTCGTAATGGAAGAGATCCACAAAATTATTTTTTGATGTCTAAGGTCCCTAAACATATATCAGATAAATTTGTCTCTCTTCCTCGCATACCAGAAACCCCTCTCTCATTCTCACCCAAAAATGGCGTCAGACATTCTCGTGGAAAGATTAATCGTTGCCATTTAATACCAGGGATCTTAAAAAAAAAACCCCTATTTTTTTTCAAAACTCAATAGAGGTTGATGTAATTTATCCAAAAAATAAAAAGCCACCATGTTCTTTATTATTTTTCTTATAGATTTTTTCACATACATTTTAAACAAAAAAATATGAAAAATAATAAATTTAAAACCAGTTTTTGAAAATTAAACCAAACAAAAATTTCTTAGTTTTGTTTGACTAGACTAGAAAAATGAATTTATTTTTCTCACGAAAATATTTTTATGTATGGTTAGCAGCAGGAAAAAAAAAAAAGATATAAATGTATTTTCATTTTTTCCTCTTATCAATTTCTAAATCCAAACACAACATTAATGTTTTCTTCTTAATTTGGATTTGATACTTAAAAATAAAAAAGTTGTTTTTGAAAAGATGGTTAAAAGTTAACTTTTTAACTTTTTTTTTAAAAAATATATAAAAAATATAAGAAATGATATGACCAAAAATAAATTAAAAGTTGATAAATAACTTTTAATCCACTTTTCAAAAAAAGGTAACTTTTTTCTTTCTATTTTTTGGTTAATAAATGAGATTCAACCTTGGTGTCAACTTTGCAGTAACTCCTATATTATTTACTACATTTAATATCAATATGTCCTTACTAAGCCTTCCTTTGGCATCCTAATTTTTGGCTAAAATAGTCACAAAATAATAAAATAAACTAAAAAGCTGAGAAGACAAAATATTATATCCAAACTATAATCATTTTATTTTTCATTTCACAAAAGTCAAAAAACAAAATAAATCCCCCAAAAAGAAAAAATAAATCTAAATTGGACCACTCCTTCCCACTTAAGAGCTGAATCCATAACACTTATCCTAAAATTTTAATGATATGTTCTTATCTAGGTAAACCAACTCAAAAAGGCAACAAATTTAAAAAAAAAAATTCTAAATTGGATCACTCCTTCCTTCCCACTTAAGAGCTGAATCCAGAACACTTATCCTAACATTTTAATGATACGTTCTTATCTAGGTAAACCAACTCAAAAAGGCAACAAATTAATTGTTCTGTAGACATGTTATGAAGTACATAGTGCCTTTTCATTAAATTTTTATTTTAATTCTTTCAATTACAATAATTAATTTGTTATAATTTAAATTAAGTTAAAATGTCACCATTCCATTCATTTGATGCTAGTAAGTTTGACTAAACTTGTCATCTAAATAATGTCACATACGTGATAGTTTTCTCACTTCATTAGTGTTTTTATAATTTTATCAAAATTTTACTTGATCCTCACTTGTAATTTCCGTCAACCTCATTAACGGTAGATAAATAAAACAAGAACATTGCAACTTGAAAGGGTTATTTAAAATGATCTAAATAAGCATATTTTGTTGACATTTTATGAAAAGATGTATAAAAAAATAGAGAAGTAATATAACTCAAATAAGTACATTTATATTCATCATGCAAACAACCTCTTCAAAGTTTAAGAATAAATTGTCACAGTTAAAAATGAAATGATCAAAATGAAATTTTGATAAAAATATAAGGGTATTAAGTGAAATTAACCCATAGTTCTTATGAAAATATTTTTTTTAATATTACCTACAAGCCAATTAATGCAGGTAAATTACAAATACACTCCCTGAGATTTACTTAAAATACGAATTGTCCCATGTAATTTGAAAAATAACAAATATCTCATTATTAGAATTTTTTATTTAACAAAATTAATTGAAAAAATAAAATTCTTAATTGTTTTCTATATAATAATAAAATTACCTGAATTATTTATTAAAATAAATTTTTAGCATCATTGAAAACTATTAATTAACTTGTTAAATATTAATTAAAAAAAAGACTATTTGTTATGAAATTAAAAATATCAAGGGAAGAGATGTAATTTCCAAAATACAGTGGACAATTCGTATTTTAAATAAATCTCAAGAGTGTTTGTAATTTATCCAAATTATTATTCATTCATTTCAAATTAAAAGATCTATTAAAATAATTTACAATTTTCAAAGTGTTTTTTTTAGAACCAGAAAAACAGACTATATTAAAAAATAAAAATAAAAATAGAGATTACAAGAACAACAAAAGACAAAATCTAATACAAACAACAAAAAGCCAATATTTTTTGCTACATCTCTATATAATGTGTAATGGTTGATTTGAACTTGTAATCTGCTTTCAAATTAAAAGACCTATTTAAATAATTTACAATTTTCAAAGTGTTTATTTTAGAACCAGAAAAACAGACTATATTAAAAAGAAAAGAGATAACAAGAACAACAAAAGAAAAAATCTAACACAAGCCGCAAAAAGTCACTATTTTTTGCTACATCTCTATCCAATGTGTAATGGTTGATTTGAACTTGTAATCTGTTTTCAAATTAAAAGACCTATTAAAATAATTTACAATTTTCAAAGTGTTTTTTTCAGAACCAGAAAAACAGACTACATAAAATAAAATAAAAATAAAAAATAAAAAGATATTTATCAATAAATCTCATCTGACAAACAAACAAGTATTTCAATTAATCTCAAGTTTTTTCTATTGATCAGCTAAGTCCTATTAGTGAAGAATTTATTTCTGTGTGGTCCTCTTTTGATTTTGGTAATATTTTGGTGGACAGCTATACCTTTTTATTAATGTGACAAGTATGGTGTAATATTCTAATATGACAGGTATTAATGTGACACTCTACTTTTTCTAAATGTAACAACGTGGCAAATATGATATGACACTCCAAAACTTTTATTCAAAAAAAAAACTCTTTAGTATACTTTTTTCTAATGTAACAACGTGATGGTATGACATGACACTTCAAAAAATAAATAAAAATTCTTTAATGTACTTTTTTCTTAATGTGACAACGTGACGCGTATGATGTGACACTTTAAAAAAAATTAAAATTCTTCAATGTACTTTTTTCTAATGTGACAACATGGCGGATATAATATGAAATTTCAAAAAAAAATTAAAAACTCCTTAGTGTATTTTTCTCAAAAGTAACGTGACAGATATGATGTGACACTCTAAAAAAAATTAAAAACTCCTTAGTATACTTTTCTTAAACGTGACGTGTGACACTCTAACGTGACAGGTATAATATGACACTTTAACGTGGCGGGTATAATGTGACACTATAAAAAAATTAAAAACTCTTTGATATATTTTTTTCAAATGTGATACTCCAACATGGCGAGCAAATGAGTCATTACACATCCAAAATGACTAAATAGATCATAAAAAAATATAAGACTGTATAGATTATAAGTTCAAAATATGAGACTTATTGATCAGTCTCCTTAAAAAAAAAAAAAAAATTACAACAACAACCAAAGAAAAAATCTAATACAAACTACAAAAAGTCACTATTTTTTGCTACGTCTCCATCTAATGTCTAATGTGTAATGGTTGATTTGAACTTTGATTCCCAACCAAAATTATTTTATTTCTGTCAAATGTTTGACTTGAGACTTTTGAGTTCCATAAAGAAAAGGAATGCCAATGACTTGAAAACTAGCCCAAGATTTGACCAATACCCATTAATGTTCTTCTGTTATTTGAAGTGACATGAAACAACTTGGTTACATGCCAAATCATTCGTTACCATTCCTTCATATGCCCCCTTTGTGTAACTAATTAATGTAACAACCAAACAATTATTCACGCCTAGTTAAAAAATAAATAAATCAACCATCAACAAATTTAATTTCATTAGTAAAAAGTCACATCATGCATATGAATCAATAATTTTTTTTCCTTATAACTATCTATTCAACCAAAATTTAAAAAAAAAAAAAAAAAAGAGGCTACAAATGCATTATATTTTTTCATCTCATAAAAAAGTCAAGTTTCCAAACGAACACTCAAATCACCTATTTTGGCAGCACGGTTAGAAATTAATTTTTTAAGTCACATCACTTATATTTTTTTTACACATTTTTTAAAAATAAAAAATAAAAAAAAGTTAACTTATTGCCTACTTCCTTAAATAAGCCAATGTCCTATGGTATTATCCCGGCTAACATTTACACCATCTATTATTGTATAAAGAGTGTTTTAGTCAATCAATATAACTCTGCTCCATTAATAGACGCAACCAACCAGTATACATCAATCCATAGTGCGAAAGGGATATCAGGCACATGCAACACATTCCATCTTTGCTTCATTTTTTCAGATAAAAAAAAATAATCACATGTAGCAACCAACCACGAATAATCAAAATTTACAATATATATATATATATATATAAATTATGTACCACATTAGTCAAGACTTGGGAATTAAAGTCAATAAAATATTTCAATCACAAAAATTAACAAACAAACTAGAATATCATCAAATTAGGATTACAATTGGATTTAGGAAGACCTGAGAGATCCATGACTACGACGGTGACTCGGATATTTTTTTTTTAATTTTTATTTGATTTTTTAAGTGAGCTGTCTAGAAGAGGGGAAGTCCTTCCCTAGTTAAGCTCAGTTCCACTCTAATAATCCTTCCAGTCTATTGCCTCTTCTTACAAATGTGTGTGGATCAGAGAGAGAGAGAGAGAGAGAGAGAGAGTCATGTTTGAAAGCAACTCAAGCAAGCATAAACATATTTTCGATGATTTGAATGACCAATACATGTGTTTCGATCTTGGATTTGTGGAGGGAATTGTGAATACTATAGTCATTAATGTATACAAGGTTATTGTAAATCAATCATGTAAGGTTTCCAAATTTGGCCAAATTACACAAAAAGAGAATCCACTACTGAACAGTTCTGATAAAAAATTGTGAGTTCATTGGTCAGGAGAAGAGAAAGGTGACCTTAATGCTTTGATGATCCTGAAAACACCATATGAGCTTTTAGTCAACAACAAAAGATGAATATATAAATAAATAAAAGATGTAATAGAATCCATTCAAAGAATGAACAAAACAAAAAAACTAGAAGAGACTAACTCCGAAATTTTACCAGAAAGAGAGCCAAACTTTGCCTCAGATAGACGGACCCAAGACAAAACCTCACCCAACCTACATCAAAGGATAATACATTAGAATTTACCAGATAAAGAATCGCAAATCTTGTCTTCGTTGAATATTAAGAAATAAGATAGCAATAATTGAGACCTGACTCATATTTAGACTGCGATTGCAAACTGAAATTTTAGAATATTTAAGGGTAGAAGTGGCCAGTAAAAATTAGTGAAAAGTGGAAAAGGTTTTAGTATTACATGGGCTAAACCTATTCAAAACATTAGTTTTCAATGCCAGCCAAGTATAAACAGATCAAATGTATGTTTTTTGGCATTTTTCACAATGTCTCGCTCACGCCAGTTTAAGTTCATTCAAGTTTCTAAACTGTAATTTTTCAAATTCTAGTTTGGCGCAACAATCATTTTTAACGAACTTCCCAAATCTCTCTTTATTAAAGCTCCAATAGGATTGACAAATCTTAGAACCATGATCAAATGCTAATGTTTAAGCACCCCCATGAAGGTTTTTTACACCAAACAGAAAAACCAAAAGAAAGCTAGCCTATGCTTTACAAAAATAAAGATTACAACAGTTTTCAAATGAGAACGGTGGAATGGAATACGGGAAGACGTACACATTTTGAGACTGGGAGAGGTGGGGACAAGTTTAGCAATTGGGTTCAAGGTACTTTAGCCGTGGAGACTTTGGGTTTGATTTTCCAACCCCTTTCAACTTCAGTTGTTGCAACTAATTGATGTCATGCCTTGAACCAAACCCTGGCCAATTCTAGTGTAGACTGATGTTTGACTGTATTGAACACAACTAAACCAATGTCATTTAGACAGTGAATTCATTTGTGGTACACGAAAAATATTTTTATGAGAATCAATGTTGCAAACGCTCAGATAAACATCTTAGTTCTGGTTCCAGGTATGCATCCAGGTGTCAAATACATCCAAACCTAAATATAAGGACACTCTTAGACTTATTTATTTTTATGATTTATTTAATTATGTTTTAATTTATTTAGAAGAGAAAAATAGAATCAAAATTTATTTTGATGATATATTTGAAAGAGAAAAATATAATCAAAATTTATTTTGATAATTTATTTGAAAGAGAAAAATAGAATCAACATTTATTTTAATGATTTTATGTTTTAATAAAATCAAAATTTATTTTGTCCTATTATTTCTCACTTAAACCTTTATCCTAAATGTTATTAGAATGTATTTAATATTTGATTAAATCAAGAGTTCAAACAGCCCAAAACAAAGGTTCAAACAGCCTAGCACAGCAGCAGGCCAAAAGGTTCAAAAAGTTCAAGTGAAAGATATTCAAATTAGTAATGATGAAAGTACAACGGCTATAAACAGCTATAAAGGTTTAAAAGACCAAAAGGTCCAAAAGGTTCAAAAGGTTCAAGTGGAAGATATTCAAATTTGCAATGATGGAGTGAAAAATATTCAAATTGGTAATGATGAAAGTACAACGGCTATAAACGGCTATAAATTCAAATTGGTAATGATGGAAGTACACCATTTATAAACGGCTGTAAATTCAAATGAATACAACGGCTATAAACGGGTATAATTTTCATTATATATACCCAAGTCTCTAATGTAAACAAGTTACAAAAAACTTAAAAATATTCTTTGATTTATAATCACTCACATCTATTCTCAAAAATTATACACTGAGCCTTATAGTATTAAACTCATCTTTCCTGTGTGAGATTTACAGAAAAATCAAACTGTCATTTTATATATCTATCTTTGAGAGATATTTATTGTAAGCATTCTTTGAAAGCAAAAATACCATTTCATCTTGTAAAAGTGTTGCAAACACTGTGTTCTTGAAATCTTGAGAGTGAGTGTGAATCACCTAAGATTTGCAAGGGTTTGGGCTTGTGAAGTCTATGTAAAATCTGTGGAGGATTGCTCTATTTGTAAAGAGGTTGCTAGCACCCCTGTGAAGCTAGAAGATAGTGAAAAATCTCAAGTGAAGCTTGAGGAGTGAATGTAGGCTTAGTTGAAGCCAAACCACAATAAATTTGTTTGTCTTCTCTTCCCTAATCTCTTTACTTTCCTACTACTGCTATAACTATCTAATATTCATGTATTAATCATTTGATTTACCCTCTATGTTAGTTATACTCTCTGTTATCAGAATCTTACGATTCGCGATTCGATTCGCAATTCGATACGCAATTTTTGCAAAATCGACACGAATCTATGAGTGAATCTATTTTGGAAGTGAATCTCTAATAAATCGCACGATTCACGATTCGATTCACTTTTTACGATTCATGCAATTTTTGAAATTATTGTGTTCGACATATTTTCAACTCATTTTTTCCATCTTTTTGATGAAAATGACATAATACAACTTCTAATAGCATTTAATACCAAAATAACCAACATATATATATGATTTGTTGTTATTTTAGTGATTATGAAGTTTTTTATAGGATCCAATCAGATTCAGTTAGACCTAACATATTTTTAACATTTCTTCTCATTTTTTTTCCCTTCAAAAAATTGTAATATATCTTCTAAAGATGTTTAAGATTAAAGTTACACTATGAATTATCTATTACTATTTTATTACATGTGCGAGGTCAATTGTACCTTTTAAAATGTTTTAGGCTTTAAAATAAAATATCCTAAATAATTCTTTCTTATTATTTACTCACTCTTACTTAGAAAAGTATATATGCTTATTGTCCAAATATCAATATCGTTGTTAACTATTATTACTTTAGAAATTAATATTTTGTCTATTTGGTTATTATCTTTATTAAGAATGGTTGATAAAAAATATCTAAAAAAAAAAAAAGGTAAGATGTAATTTTACATAGGAACCTTTATTAACTTCTTACCTATTAAATTACGTGATTATCATTCAAAATAACATTTTTGTTAATTTAAGTCTAAATATTTTATATTCATAAGATATATTTAACATATAAATGTGTAGATATATATATTTTTAAGTAATTTAGAAAAAGTGACCGAATCTTTACAATTCATGATTCAATTCGATTCGTAATTCGGTACGAGGCCATTTCAATTCACGATACAAATCCCGATTTAACAACTATGGTTATGCTTCATTGTTATTTTGCTTGATCATTTACTGCTAAGTTCATCATTGTGCTTGTTAATAATTTGTTATACTAGTAGTTAATTTTATTGGAATATTATTAATTTTAATTTGTAGAAACCTAATCCACCTCCCTCTTAGTTGCTTTTTGGGTAACAGACACAACACAAGATGCGTTGACTAGATTTTCAACACTGCCAGTGCCTAGATAAGGGATGGGAATATTTCAAAGATGCATGGTCAAAGCTCACCTGTGAGTACAATTACGAATCCAATGGCTGCAAAGAGTCAGACCACAGCATTACAGTTGCCAAAAGTGCCATTGTTGCTGTTTCAACTCGTAGGCGATGTGGCCCCAGACCAACAGCAGTTGCACCTGCTTCTATGATCAAATCCATCTCTTTCTCAGTAAAGTCTGAAAAAAATAATTACTGACATTAACAGACAACTCATATTTTCAAAGGAGCAATTACAACACATCAAATTTTAGAAATTTAAAAGCTAGCATTAAAACTCTATATTAGACTGACTCAGAATATGGTTCATACAATCTAGTAGAAGTTTTGTTAGGTTATTGTTTAAATTAAAATTTCAAAAATCAAAATCATAACCGCTATGTTATTTGAACTCAAGTACAACATAAACCTGGCTGGATAAAGGACACAGCAACATTTATATAAACATATGCATATATATTGTATACATCACTTGAATAAATTAAACAAATGATTTTATCACAATATTTACATGACAAAACTACCTTTCCTCAAGAATCACTTCTTGTGTTTGAATTTGCAAAGAAAAATTAGACTTATGTTCTATGGACATGGACTTGGAACTAAATTCAATCCCATTTAGTGTCATTATTTCCCTTTTTTCACATTATGTAAACCCAATTCTTATCCTCTATGAAGAAGTCAAATTATTTGGAACTATATTTTTCTAACAATTATGCTCCAATGCTACGCTATAAATGCCACGTGTCAATATTCAAGATCTGTTAGATACATTCCCCAAAGTATACAGCTAGTATTGGCCTTTTCGAAATAGTAAGAAAAAGTATTTACAAATTATGAATACATTTTTAAATGCCAGATACATTTTTATATGGTTACATAAATGACTCCTTTTTAGAAGTATCTGTTTGTTTTAAGTTTGTGACAATAGAACCACTTTTTCCAACATTATTTTTCTCAAATAAATTCAGCAGGGAACTGTTTCTATCATTTTTCTCCTGTGTCAAGAGAGAACAAGTATCACCACAGCTGTTTGATATTATCACATTTTGCATTGTGCAATATTTTTGGAAATTATATCTAAGATAATGAAGGAAGCTTTAGAAACTGGAAATTTGTATGATTGTAAATCTAATGTTCTGAGAGTGAAGCACTCGTTATTTGCTACTCCTGTTTTTGTTGTTGTGTTGTGATCCATATAATATCGACCAAATCCATTCTCATCAACTCATTAATATCTTTCATTTAATGTAAAACTGTTGATGAGTTTTCTTCTTAATTCAACTACACAACTCAGTTAAAGCCTATAACAATCGTATCATAATTCACAACTAAATTGTCGACTAGTCACCACTTATCACAAAGTCACCTTCACACCAATCAAAAAAACATCAAATAAACCATGGTTGTGTTCAAAACATCTATCCCATTTTAGCATAAGTATGTGGCAAAGAAACTGGAGAGAGAGAGAGAGAGAGACTAACTAATGTATCACATGTACTAACCCCCTTCTGGTCCAATTATTATGGACCCACTTGATTCCGTTCTAGAGGAAGTCAGTGCACTAATGACAGGAGCAGCCTCTGCTAAAGCCACAAAACATAGCTTTGACTGGGCAACCTAGAGACACAAAAGAAGGCATAAGTCTCACAAATTCACAAAAGTAAGGCAAGTCGCAAGTGTCTATACACCAGGCATGATGAACTATAACTTTACATAACCCATAAAACAAAATATATAAAAATATACTTGTCAGAACTTCTGTACATACAAGGAGGAAGAAGTAACTCACAATAGGTAAAAGGCCACCAATTTTTGTAGGAGGATTCAAAGTCATTTCATGCAGCCGTTGACCTGAAAACGATATTAATACCGAAAGAACCAAAAATAATGAATAATTCCAGCAAAATACTCATCCATCCATCAAAGCCACATACAAACTGATTGAGCTCACCAAATCCAAAAGCAAAGTCAACATCAAGAGCAAAGGTCAAGGTCATGTTTCACATCAATCTAAACCCTTCAAGTGGGATTAAAACAAAAACTGAAGCAATATCTTACATTGTTTAGCTGCAGCTAGGTTGACACGTTGCAGTCTGCCCACCCGATTTTCTGAGATTGAAGGAGAACGTTCAGTTAGCAGAGGTGTTACACTACAAGCCCCCAGCTCCTACCACAAAGAGAAGAGAGGCTAAGGAATAAAGTTTGCAACTAGAATAAAAACGAAAGAAAGATAACACCAACCAAACAAAAATTATATCTCAGACATACTGTGCATTTTTCAACAAGCCAGTCAGCTCGACCACCTTTTAAAGTCCCTAAATAGAAAAGGCTTAAATGTTAAGGTTAATTCCCATTCTTGAGAAGAACACAAACATTCTTATGCATTAATTTGACTGATTAGATCAAAAGCTCACCAAAAGCTGCAAACACATGCCACTGTGTGGTCTGAGGCAAAACTATTTTTGGATCTTCCAGTGCCATAAAATCCAGTCCAGTGCGGTCAATCCTCTCTATGCACCCTTCAATAAGACCTCCTTTCCCATTGAAGAGCTCTACCCTTGCATGTCAAGGGAGAAAAATCATAAATGTATTATTACAACCAAGCTAGATATTGTTTGTACAGACAGAGCAAACAAATTCTGCAAATGAGGTTCCATTTAAACTTGAACTATCCAATTCAAGACCAAGATTTAATGAATATCTTCATAGAGAAAATGAATTGTTCTTAAAGCTTCCTTAAATTGCCATATCCTCTATAAATGAAAGAGTTGAAGACAAATATACTCGATGCAATTCAACAAAACCTTGTCCCGTTTCTCTGGGTTGGCAACATTAATATTGTTTTCCCATTCCAATCCAAGCCATAATTTTAATTGAACATGTTACCATGTCTTTCCTTACTATCCCAACCCATGTTAACATTGTTCTTACTTTTCGCCTACATTACTCAAAATGTGGCAACATCACTCTTCCCTATTGGTGCAAAACAAACCTCTATAAATTCATTTATTTTAAGTTTAGAAATCCATCCTATGTTACGCCTAGTCTTATCTTTCACATAAAAGGCTGAAAGCCCAAAAAGAAATAAGGCCATGTAGGTGGACAAAAAAATAACTTAGTCACATCAGATCACCAAACCCAAGAAGTTGGAAGTAAGGCTTGTTTAGCTGAATGAAATCCATTATCTATTTTAAAATCCATTATCTATTTTAAGTAAAACACTTGAGTGTCAACACTTGTGTTTCAATATAGTCCAACCCCATTATGCAGTTACATATGTTTAGTGATTTAGCAATCAATAACTATACTTCAATAGCCTGTATTGATTCCTCCGTTCATAAACAGGTTTTGATGTTAAAAACTTCATGCAATATTCCATACAAGCATACAATGCCAGGTGAATACAAAGTACACTAAACTCAGAACTTCTGTAAATAAATTAAAAAGTACCTATCTCTTGCGCTCAACCTTAGAACTTTAGTCATATGCCAAAACTCATCACCTTGTATGCGAACACCACGACCCTGCTTTGTTAAAGTAAAAAGTAAGCTTATAGTTAACAATCGAACAACTCCTAATTTTTTCTCTACTCTCATAAACATAAAACCATGGGTTCAATTCTTTCAGTACCCTGCCACAAATCCTGTCACTAACTTGTACATATATTAGCCAACTATGAAGTCTAGTATCAAATTGACAATGCCAATGGACATATAAATATATCCACAAATGTGATTTGAGGGGAATAAACGCACAATTTTAAAAATCAATACTATATAATTACGTAGAAGTTAAGCATTAGAGTAGGAAACAAGAACAGACAATGCTTCAATGGGGATCAACGTAAGCTAACAAAACTACTTGGAATAGTTTTTTAGATCAACATTTCACTTTCCAGAACTAAAATTTTTCCTCTTTTCCCATTTCATAGAATACTAGAACGTGTTAAACCTCGAAGCGAAAGCCTATTGAAGAACAAAAGTACAAGATTTACAAAATATATGCATGTCTGTGTGTGTGTGTGTGTGTGCGTGTGCGTGTCTATATATATATATATATATAGAGAGAGAGAGAGAGAGGGGAGTGCCTTGGAGGGAGGGAGGACTTCGGAGAAGAAGCGAGGAAGACCGCCGCGAGACTGGTTGGAGTAATCCGAGGATGAAGAAGAAGATGATGAGAATAAACGGAGACTAGATGCTTTCAGCCATGGACGGTTCAAAACAAGGTCCGTAAAACGATGCCCCATTACTAGGGTTTTCATTGGGGCTTCACCGGCGGCACAACAACCAGAGCCTTCCCGGAAGAAGGGAGAGTACCCAAATTTGGGCTTTATCAACTACGTGAATTCCATTTCCATCCCATTAATCACTTCCGTGCACGTTTAATAAAATATTATTTTGATATCAATTATAGGAGTGGGCGCAAGTCGGGTGCGGTTACGGAATCTTTAATTCATTATTCGTCCATTAGATTGGTAGATTAGAGAAAATTAATTTACATTTATTCGCTAATTCGGCGGATGTAAATTGAACGGATTGACGATTTGGCGGATGAATGCGAATCGGTTTAGCGATTTAAAATTTTATAAATTTTAAACTTGTGCACTTCCTCAAAAAAAAAAAAAATATTATAATCAATGACTTAAAAAAATATTAAAATCACTACATGCCTCATCTAAAGTAAGAAAGTTTAAAATTTTAGAATATCACAATCACAGCATGCCTCATCCACATAAAGTATTACAATCTGTGATTCTTAAAATATAAAAATAATTCAAACCACGAAAACCATAAACATCGCAGCAGTAGAGATTGTATGTCTCTGTATTGTTACATCTATATCTGTTTTTGAAAACAAAAACCAACCAGCATATATCATATTTTCTATTTATTATTTTTAGAGATAGATTTAAAAACTAAAAAATATAGATAAATACTACATTTATTTTTTTCAATTCAAAAAAGATATTCAAGTTGAAAACTTTTTTTCAACAGAATATTTAAACTCTTTTTTAATTGAAAACACAAACAGAATATTTAAACAAACTGAAAACACAAAGTCTTATAAATTACTAGGGGTGCTCGCGGTTTGGCGGTTCGGTTGCGGTCAAAAGAATCTCAAATCTGCCATCCATCCGCCGGATTGGCGGATTGGAGAAAATCAATCCGCAACCGTCCGCTCGTCATCACGCATCCGTCCAAAATGCGGCGGATCGATTCGGTTCGGTTCGGTTCGGTTCAGTCGGTTTTGGCGGATCGGTATATTCGCTACTCACCCCTAATCAATTATATCTTAAATTAGAGTGATTATTGTTGAGTCAATCCCACGTCAATCAAGGGTACTTTCACTTTCACCTTATAAGCATACGGGCCCCTTCACTTGTCAATATATTGATTCATCCACTTTCACCTTATAAGCATACGGACCCTTTCACTTGTCAATATATTGATTTATTCACTTTGGCCGGAGCTTCACAATTTTGTTCCTTCTTGGAGGAAAAGGCCTATTTATTGAGGTGAGTACTGGAATAGCTCAGTCACCGAACAATATACTCTCCGCTTTAGGGTTTTAGAGTTGAGGGAGCTGGTTCCCCTCTCACAGTTTTAAAAGGCCTATTTGTTGGCTTTTTGGCTTTCGAAGGTTACTTTTATAATTATGAGCGTGCCAGCAAGGATCAATCAGTCCTTACAGAATTGTAATTGCCAAACAATTATTCAGACGATTGTGTTATGGTTCTTTCGGCTTCAATAAAGAGGACTTTTACTGGTGACTTACTGGTAATTTGACTTCAAAGAACTTGAGCATAAGAACAGTTAAATAAACTGAAGCATTTCATCAGTATGAAAAACTTACAATGATCTTAGTTCCGTAGAGAATTACAGCGGCAATATACTCGAAAACTACTCCTACAAATGAAGTGCAGCGCAGGAACTTAAAGTACAGAAATATAAAGGACAGGAAACAACACTGGAATATGTAAAGTAATTCTTTAAATCTTTCTTCGTCCCTTCTCTGAAGTCCTTCCTTGGCTAGTACAAAATGTGTAGCCAACATTACCCCCCGCACTAATATACCCAAGACTTGGTGATATTAGTGGATCAGGGTCCCTTTTCCCACGTCTTAGAACGTGCATGGGTTTTGCATCTTCCCAGAAATGCAACTGTCACTCACCATCTGTATTAATACTCTCGTCTTAATCCTTTAAGTACTTTCACTGTCTTATTATTCGAACAGACTGATACATTTCAATGGCCAAATTAATTCTTTCCTCCAGCGATGAAGCATACGAAGAGTCATATGTCGAGGCTATTTCTCATCGAAAGCATGCATTTGTTGGCCACCTTTACCCACCTTTCTATATTCAGGTCATGGACACCTTTGCAAATTACCGACCTTTGGATTACGAACACATTGCTCTTAACCCCTTCGATTCAGAAGGCTACAAACGTAGACATAAGAATTTTCCCCTCTGACCTACCTTTACAGTTCGAACAATCTGCTCTCAAACCTTTGATTCGGAAAATTGCAAATATGGATTTGAGCAACTCTTCTTCGCAAATTTCTGTATGGGATAAAGCTACAACTTCTTCCTCTTCTGGGGGTTCTGACTGGACAAGTTGGTCAGTACCTGAGACTTATGATTTGAAGGAGCGAATCAACCACCATTTTGTTGAGTTCACTGACCCTTTAGAGTTTCCTTCCTATACTCGAAGTTCAGTTGTTTATCCCTATGTGCCCATTGACCATCGGCGTAGTCTGGAGGAGAATCTTCTTGTAGCATGGTATACATCTTCCATGCCTACAAAGATAGTGCACACTGCCCCTCGCCCAGAAGAAGCACAAGGGTATAACCCATCATTCTTAGCCCAAAAGGCGAAGATCTATTCTTCTGACTGGCTTGATTATATTAATGCCTTTGTTCTTTCTGCTCCCATATCATCCCCAAAAACAGAAGCGTCCACACCTTCTTCTTTGTCTCCCGAAATTGAAGTATGTATACCTTTTCCCCCACCAATTCTTTCCTGGACAGAGAAACTGAAGATTGCCCTATCCATGGAGAATGTCTTTCCACCTTATAAACCTCTATCTCCTCCTACCCCAGCTGAGCGGAAACAGGCTCAGCTTCTGCTTGCAGCCTTCTCTCACTTGCCTTTTAATGTACTCGAGGACGAAGTCCCTCTCAAGAACCTTCGATGGGCTTGTGATATTCTGACTAGGGGCCATGTCCTTAATCCCCTTGCTCAGGCAGAACTTCATATGTTTCTGGACCAACTTCCATTGCTTCTTAACTGGCATCGAAATTCTGTGGCTACTACACAATCTTTAGACCAACTTTCGTCTCTTCGAATTCATGCTCAGTACGAAGCAGAGAACTTTATTGAAGAATTCAATGATTTCAAGAATAAAGATTCTGCGTATTGGGATGACTTAGACATTGATGAATTGGAATAAGGATTAAGAGAGGTGGCTTTCGAAATAAAGGCTGAAGAGCTCTACTATGAAGTGAGAGCACATTAACTTATGCAGCCAATGCTAGAAAATTTAGAAGATAGAATAAGGAAAGAACAAAAGTTCATTGATCATTGTTGGACTAAATTTCATGATCTTGTTATTTATTCCATTCCTTATTTTTATGAGCTCGAGTTCATACCGAGATAGGGTCAGCTGATGTAATCGCTCTGATCTTAATATAAACAAAATTCTTCTTCATTTGTCTTTGCTTGACCCTGTCTTTACTTGTATTTTTACTTGTGTTTTAAAAGTCAACTCAGAGCGATTACATCAGCTGACCCTATCTGGACTTAATTGTTGAAGGAAGCTTTTTTAAATGAAACACTAAATGAGCCAATTGTAAACCCTGAGTTGATACCGAGATAGGGTCAGCTGACCTTAAGGTCACTAAATGAGCCAATTGAATCTGGACTTAATTGTTTTAAATGAAACACTAAATGAGCCAATTGTAAACCTTTCCAATTTGTGGAATAAAGTTTTGGCTGGTTTTCAATTGGAAACAGTGCTTCGAATCTAGCAATCTTACACTTAAAGCCTGTTTTGACCATAGTCAACATCTAGTCATTGTCATTATTGCTTTTGATGTTTCGAACACCAAATCCCATCCTTGAAGAATCTCAAGTTTTGCTTCGAAGGACATTACCTTTGTTAAAAAACCTAAAAACAGGTCTTTAACCTCTTTTAAGTGAAATAAATACTCGAGTATTTTTATATTTTGGGTAGGGCAACCCACTTCGAAGCTGGCTTCTCTGTTTCGAAGCCGTTTGACTTGGCTTCGAAGCAAAATATCTTACTTTGAAGCTAGCCTTAACAACTGGGCTTTGTTTTCCCTCCAAAAGCATCAATGTTGAAGGAAGCTTTTGTATTCGTACTTTTAACACTTAACAGCTCATGTAATATATTTTCAAATACGAGGGCTTTAAAAACCCTTTTGTTTTGTGTTCTGAAAACACTTGCTCTTCTAATATGTCACGACCCAAACCCGGCCCTATGGGTTTAGCACCGTAACCGGCCAGTAATCCGAGATTACCGAAGGCCTGCTTAACAGTAATACAGTAAAACAGAGTACAAGGCCTGGCGGAAGCCAATACAGTAATTAAACAATGTCCAATGAGCTGTGACAGTCTGTATGCCAAAAAGATTTTTCATGCATTCATACATACACAAACAGTACAGTCTATACAGAATTTACAAGTCACACAGTACAAGGACCTAATCCCTTGATAACAGTACGGTAAACATTCAGTCTATACAGAACAGTTAGACAGTATGAAGACAGGCGGGGGAAAACAAACAAAACACCCCAAAGCCATAGCATGGATTGTTGTCCCATGGCATTTACTATCAATAATCTCATACGGTCCGACATATCTCGGCGCTAACTTGCCTTTGACTCCAAAACGAGTCTGGCCTTTCATTGGTGTCACTTTCACAAAAACGTGATCACCCACTTCATACTCTCAGTAGGTGCTAAGGATGCCACAGTACAGTTCAGAAATAAAGGACATACATTCATTCAGTAATACCAGTTCAGTAAACAGTTCAGTTCAGTATTCAAAAGATATCAGTTGAACATATCTTTACACAATTGTTACTCACAGAGTTTGGGCTACAGTATGCTAGAGCGTGTCTCTCCAGTCGCCAACCCTACACAGTTAACAGATTGAACACACTAAGCTACACAGTTGGGAAAGATAATAACTTAATCCCTAATTTGCCTCGGTGTGTTCTACATCTACGCCCTCATGAAGATGTCTTAAACTAGGCCTAAGAATGCCTAGAATTGGATGAGGATGCAAAGATGTACATTGAAAAGTATTTTCAGAAAACAGAATTCCGCTCGAGCTCAGGTT